CCACTCGCTTTCCCTAAACTAAATAACTTACCAGCTTGGATGTACAACTTGTTGTCACGGAGCCTGCTTGATATTTGGTGCTAATAAAAATTGAAGTTTTAAATTTCTATCCTGTGAAGTCCGTGCATTCAAGTTCTTCCTTATTAATCACCTTCTTGTGTCCAACTGTGCACCACAGATGGCTAATGTGACACAGTACATTCTTCACTATCAAAACGCTCTTTGAAATAAGTCCTTACATGTTTAAAGGAATTGTTATCACATGGAAAACTGGAGTAATTAAAAAACTTCCCGGAGATCACCCATGCTGACGGAATCAAGAGTTAATGTACATTCAAGAAATATACTTATGTACCTTCCTCTGAGGATCAGAATATTCCAGTGCAAGCAATCTTTGTTTTTAAAGGATGACACAGGACTCCAATTTATGTTGTTTATGTTTGCACCAAGAAAGTCAAGGAAGAAAAGGGACACTAAAAAATAACAGATATTAAAAATAAAAAGCCCCCACAAAAACCACAGACGCAGAATATGGGTGAAAATGGAAACTGCCCAAGAGCTGGGCATGCAGTTGTAGTCACCTGAGCAGTGTTCTTCCTTACCATATCACACAGCGGAGCAGCATCCCATGAAATACACGGTAAGCCCTTCACAACAACACAAAAAGATGCTCCCAGAACTGAATCTCAGCCACAGTACATGTAAAGTACACAGTACAGTAAAGTCTCTCTACAAACCATCCCACCCAATCCGTGTGATTTAGCAGACTGAGAAGTTCTGAGTTTTGTGTGAACATGCAGGTGATGGATTCTTGTCTGTAGATGCCACAAGTCAGATCTACGTAAGAAAATCTGTGATGTCTCACTGATGCTGCAGTCAGGAGCAATCAGCTGATCCCTGGGTACAATCTTACCACCTCATTCACTCATACAAGTTACTTCCTAGTAGAGGCACTGCAGCTGATATTGCCACCCGAGAATGGGAAGCAGTCACCAACCCCATCCTTAGTATACAAGGTCAAAAGTATGCATATAAGTGTTCAGTGCTGTTTTGCTCACCTTTTCTCTTTGATCCTGCTGTTGTTCCATTCCAGCTGCTTGCCTGTCCTCTTCCAGTACTCTGACAGCAATTCCATCAGCTCCCCTCCCTGATGTTTTAGGTTCACAGAGCTTAGGAAAGGGCCTGGATGATGAAAACAGTTACAAGGAGTACAGAAACTGATTTCTCTTATCTCCTCCAGCCTTCAGTACTCCTGGCCTCCCAGGAGATCAATCTATGGAGAAGTGAGGGTGAATTTATGTATAGCTTAAACATCTGAAAACTGCTGAGATCCATGACGTTTTGAGAACTCAGCGCATGACAGCTGACACATCACTGGCTCTCATGGAGCACAGTGTCCTGCAGGTTAGAAGGTTCCTTAACATCAGTGCAATCACACAAAATGTCCGGGTGTTCAGTCACACAACCAGACCTAGCACCAAGTAGCTGAGTGCCCTGCTGCCTTATTTACACAAGAAGCTCTTTTAAAGTGCTAACAGAAATTCACACAACACAGCTCCTATGATGTAAGCTTATTTCATTTTCATATTCATCCAGTGACCTCTCACTGAAAATTAGAGATTCCCTGAGAGTTTTATAGCATGAAGTGAAGTGGCAAATTAAATTGAAATTGAGATAATCCCTAGAAATGTGTACACAAGTAAAGCAACTCCAGATACCTTTCACACTGGCAAGTTCTTGTATAAATAAGAAAAAGTAATCTCCTTCAATGAAGGTATTCTCAAACCTTTCAGTTTCTTTGAAGACATCCCCAAATAAATCACGTTGTGTCTACACTATCATCTGCAGTGGGACCACTCAGATCTCTATCAGAGAACGAATTAATATTGAAATGTGTTATATGAACCAGAAGCACCACTGAATTTCCCAGCCAGGAGTTAAAAAAAAGAAAAAGGCAGCAGTGTGAGGCAGCCGTTTTCTAATCTCATCTGTCTGCCCTACTGATAGCACACAGCTCAATATGGTTTTTATTTCAGTATTTCCACATAGCAATATCTGCTTGTGTGAAAGCTTAAACAACATATTGGTTCATGTAAGAAAGTTGCAGAGCAATTCGGTTTTTTTTTCATTTTTTTCCCCAGTTTTGGTTAAATTGTTCCAGTGGAAACAATTAATAAATTTTCATAATAAATGAAAAAATGGAAACCCTGAAGGAATGACATTCTGCATATACAGACACATAACATGGAATTTAAGCCCCAGGAATGAAAGCAGATTTGTCGGCAGGAAAGGTTGTGCTGCAGCTTCATTTATGTCTTCAATGCAATTTCTGAAGCAGAGAATGTGATGATTCCCCAGGGAAATTGCACAACCACAATGCCTAAGCATATTTAAAGATTATCATTCAGGGCTTTTAAATCCAACTCTGTTTCCATTAATTCACCGAGCTGCCGGCCCAATCTCACGTTGGCAGGCTTGCTCACTCTTTAACAATAGAAAGCTTATTAAATATTAAGGTCTTAATCTTAAGTACTTCTGTATGTCTGAGAAGTCCTAAATAGTGCATAGGAAACAAACATTTCCCAACTAACAAAAAATATATAAGGGGTGGTATTAGGTAAAGGTGGATGTCCCCACACTACTGGAACTGTGCAATAAATCCACTCACCTTAAAGCAGTCGGTGTGTCCCTGCAGCCACGTTCTGCCCTGCTTGCCTAGACACTGGGTTAATTGCCCTACCTTGAAGGACAAGAGCTCACTTCTCTCCTGCCTTGAAATGCCAGCACAGCCACAAGAATGAGGTTTGTGGAAGGATTCAAAGTACTCAACCCAACCTCAGGACAGTTTCAGATAGCAAACAGTGGTCAGACGGGCAATATGCCCACAGGGTGCAACATGGATATTGCCAAAAATGAAAGAAAGGGGAGCTTAGACTCTGTGTGTATGCATCCATACTCAGGTCAATCAAGTCCAAAATACTGCATTTAGTGTTGAATCATTGAAGAAACACAGTTATCATTTCTTAGAAAGAAGTTCTGCAGGTATTGCATTAAAGTGAGGAGGCACTGAGAGTTAGAAAACACATAGGGCTCCAAAACCCTTGGTGGGGATAATACAGCATGCAGACGTACAATGTAAGTCATTCTGTTCTGCAAGTCAATCCCTTTGTTAACAAGGGATTACCATCACAGCATTTGGTATCATTTACACACGTACAACTCATGTATTAACTCCTATATATGCAAAACTCAATTCGACAATTCGCTCCCGCAGAGCACTTTGTCAAGGTTTCTACATACAAGAATGTCAGTACATCAAATTTAAATATCCCAAGGTGTCCTGAATGACTGCAGGGCATGGCCATTCACAGGAGCCCAGAGGAACGTGGTTTCTTCATTTACCCAGAACTCAGCAATCTTTGCCCTTCTGCCAGCAGCCTGTACAGCCACACAGACTACAGGGAAATGTAAGGCCTGAGAAGCGACCAGTGTGAAACCAAAACAATATTCTGATTCTTCTGTAAGACTGAAAGGCCACTCCTTTAAACAACTGCAGATTTGGTAATGAAATGATCTCCCTGTAATCCTATCAATCCTTTGTATGTGCAGTAGCTCAGTTTGTTTATGCTTTACTTCATACGTGGCTATCTGTTTTATAAGATGCCTCTAGGAGTACTTGCTGTAGGTGCTTACAAATGCTCCTTTATGCAGAAAATAACAAACCCAAACAATGGAATCATTTTAATGGACTTAAGGTACACAATAGTTTGAAAGAAAATAATGTGTTACTTACAGAAGCACGAGAAGTAATTATTCAGATAATGTGCAAAACAGTCTCTGGGACGTTAAATAAAAATAAGCATCTCAGCTTCCTTCTAAATACATTCTTTAGAATCTCCTAATAGGTAAGCCAAATTTGTTTTGCCGTAAATTCTACGCACCCTAATACGAAGCTTGGCAGATTTACGATCATTTAATTTCCTTCTTTAACCTTCTTCATTCTTAAAGTTTTGTTTAACATTGGCAGAAATGAGCTAGAATAGCTCAAATTAAGTGGAGATCAACCATGATTATGAATGGACAGTTACCAGCCTCTACTCCAAATACTCCTGCAAATAAAAGGGATTCCTTCTGCAAAGCATTACTGCTCCTCAGACCAACATTTGCCTTTCCAGACAGACTGTACATATATGGTACACAACCCACGACAGGGCTTGCAAACACGATGTGCTTTTTAAAGTGTACCCTAACCTACAACGTCGTAGGGTTTAATTTTGTGCAAATAATTAGCCTCATCTTCACATTCCTAAATAATTTCTGATGCACATTTTCAATAGCAATGGAAAAGGACACGGCACAAATAACTTCAGAACTAAGCCAGACATCCCTGCTCAGGGCGATGCACTTTGGAGCTCACAAAACACTGCTTTGCAGCTGAACATCAGGAATTTTGCAGTCTGACAGTAAAGTTTTACAGTGAAAGAACAGCGCAGGATGGAGAGATGCCCTTAGGGAACCCGAGAGCTTTACAGGTGCCTCTCACTTCCAGCTCAGCTTTTCCAGTCCAACACAGCTCCATCAAAAATTCAAAAACACTTCCATGTGCAGTGAGTCACACTGCTGCCCTGCTTTGCTCATGCTTGCAGACATTGTAAATGGCATCTCCCTACCATCGTGATGAAACTGCCCAAATTTAAGTGCCTGACATCTGCACTGTCAAATGCTTCTCACAAAGAAAGATTTTATTATTTCAGGTTTGTTCTGAAATTAGAAGTAAATTATTTCAAATGTGACTGTTTACTTCCCTGTAGCAGAAATGCTAAGTCACGGCCTGAAGCAGTGATGGAACACCTGATGGGAAGGCAGGGCCAATACAGGGGAGCTCAGGTGCATGCAATGTACGTGAGTGACTGGAAGAGGTGGAGCCAAGATCCACCCCTTCCCAGACCTCATTTAAGGGTTGGCACTGGAAGCAAAGGGATGTTGTTGAAGATTCCTGTGTACTGGAGGCCTTCTAAGGGTAAGTAGCTTCTTTCCTTTATTTCTATGCTTTTGGCTGCTGTGTTTGGGCATATCCTCACTTGTTACAGCCTAGTACTTTTGCTTCTCTGCTGGCATTGCTGTGCTTACTATTGCCGTTCCAGAATGGCCCCAGATGAGTGATATGATGCCGCTAGTGGAAATGTCTTAAAAAAGGGAACAAAAGGATATTATTGTGAAAGCAGCAGGATCCATGAAAACTAGCTGAGCTATACAACTGCATAGTACTTCTGTATGCTCAGTAATGCTTTCTTTTTCATCACACAAAACCACTTGCTGCTCTGTCCTTCCAAACAATGCTTATATACTTAATGCAGGAAGGGTGAAAGGCACCATTACTGCTCTTGATTTCTCCCATTCTCGCTTCTTCAGCGCAACTGCAGGAGATGAAGCTGGATCATGTTTTCATTTGAGATTCATTAAAAGAATGGCAATCGGGCTGCAGCTCTACTGCTAAAAACCTGTTTTAATAATAAACAACAATAAAAATCTAAGAACCCAAATGGGCTCACAACACACGAATCAGTGGAAAAGACTCCAGATCCAGCTTTCAGTAGTAACAGTGCCTGAACACCAGGAAAATCATGCCTTTACCTATAAACAAAATAGGCTTGAGACAGAAAGATAAGCAGTGGTTTGGCTCAGACACCTCACCCGCACTGAGCACGCAGTGACTTTCAGAGACAGAAGTACATCCTCTGGAGCACGTTCTTAGGTGAGGTTAACAGCACAAGGTCAGCTGTGCAAAGGAATCGAGCAGAACCTTCTCACTTTCATTTTTTGAGTGAAATGCAGGCAATGACCAGGGCACTGGAAGAAGTGTTTTAATGCTGTGCTGGAGAAAAGATGCCTCAGAGGAAAAGCAGTCTCTCTAGTGGCATGAGGACAGAACTCCAATACCCTCCTTTTAAAGCGCATAACAGTGACTACATGGCTAGGAAATAGCAGCTGGATTTTTCAAAAGCTTGCTATCTTCAGCTTTCTGTTTTACTGCAGCTGTTAATTCCTCCTCCTGATGGTGCAGATCACTATTTCTGTTTATTCTTTCTAGATTTATTTGTCCCTATATCCATAAGTAAAGCTCTTTTCAAAGCTGTTCTTCCTTAACCTGTGATACAGGGGAGGAATAGCAGCATGCTTAACTTGACCTCTGTGCACTCATGCATGCACAACAACTTGTTGTCAACAAATCATTAAGCTTTTCCCCGAGTACTGACTGCAGAACAGTGCCTGTGAGGAAGGGGCCCTGCTTTGTTCTGGTTTCTGATGACTGCAGTAGAGGCCAGCTAGCAGGTAATGGGATAGAGAAACCTTAGCTCTGTTTGACTTTGTGACAGGCTTACTATGTGACACTGAAAAAGTTACTTTTCATCTGTTTTTCTTCCATCCTTTGTCTGCCAGTCCTGTTGAAAGCTGTGCTCTCTTTGGAACACCATTCTCTACACAGCATGTTGTGTATCTCCTGCCTCTTTTCTGCTCTGGGAACCCTACCTGCACTTTCAAAGCAGTTATTTCCAACAACCCAAAATTCCTGAATTCCTTGCCAAGGAAAGGGAGAGAGACAAAGGTGGCTTCTTAACTACTTGATAAATGAGTTTAATACTGCACATGCTTGAAATTCAATTTGTATACCAATATACATATCTCAGAAGGCAGTGAGTATTTACAGTATTCACTTTGTGATCCACAAAACTGCCTGAATAACTTAATTCTCTGCCAAAAAGCACTGGGTGAAGTCATTAGAAGAGTAGCCTTAGTTTTTTTTACAGATACACTGGCCAAGTATACAGCTTCAATTTTGCCAAAAAATTTTGTATTCCTTGGCTCCAAGAAAGATAAGGCACAGGGAAGACCTTGAAAATGCAGAGATTTGGTTTTGTTTTGGTCAGTGTAGCTCTATTCTCACTCCTGTAGGAGTGGCAAAGGAGAAAGCATCTCCTCTGAAGGCAGTGGCTTCCCTCCATTCCCTCTCACTCATTTCTCTCAAACAGCTATGAGAACTCTGCTGCCCTTTCCTGTCCTGTCCACCTCCTTAAGTGATGCAGGTAAACTCAACAGCAACTGCTGACTGGAGGAGATGAAGTCTGATGTGAAACCTGGACCTCACTCAAGCCAAATATTTGAGCACTCTGCGTCAGAGCAAACAGGCAAGTCCTCACTCTCCTAGGGAAGATTAATATTCTCCATGACTTTATTTATATAACTTTATCTCTTATCAAAACAACAGATAAATCTTGTCACATAAAAAACAAAACTCCTGAAGCTTACTGCACGTTCTCTCTTTTATCAGTCAGTAATCCCAAGCACTAAAACAAATACCTTAAAGGCGTGATTTAGCCCTCAGTGCTTTAAAATAGCCAATAAATGTCTAAAGTGGGCTTTCAAGACGTGAGCTCAGCCAGTCTCCTCCGTACAAATGCATCCTTATGTCAACTACAATTTCAGTGTTGATATGAATGAAGAAAGAAGGAATTAGATGGAATTTAAAATCCCGGCAAATCCTGCTTGCTGCAGAAAGTCCATCTAAAACAATTCCAAGCTAACAGCAAAAGCAATTTAATTTTAATAGAAAGTTCTGGGTTAAAAAACGTAAGCAGCATGCAAAGACCTGATGCAGCAGACAACTATTTAGTATTGTAATTCTGAAGGCATCATTGAATAAAATACTTTCTGAAGTTAATTCAAAATGATAGCAGCAAGCTACCCAGACTCCAAAAATCAATCTGCCTGTAAGGGTAAGCTGCATCTATAGTTGGAGAACATGAGACAACATATTTGCCAAGAAAGATGCATGCCTCTCTGCGTGCATTTGTGGAACTTGAGTGAGTCGTACAATCATCTGAGTTAGAAGGAACCTTTAAAGGCCATCTGGTCCATCTTCCCTGCTGTGAACAGGGTCACCTATGCTACATCAGGTGCTCAGAGCCCTGTCCTGCCTTCCCTTGAATGTTGCCAGGGACAGGACATCCACCACCTCTCCATGGTGAATGCAGCCTGTGCCAATGCCTCATGGCCCTTATTGTGGAAAAAACTGTTTTCTTACATCCAGTATAACTCTCCCCTCCTTTATTTTAAAACCATTTACCCTTATAACAGGCCTTGCTAAAGAGTCTGTTCCCTCCATTTTATTTTATTTTTTTTTTTTGTAGCTACCGTCAATTACTTCAAACATCCCCACATGGTACATTACCAGCTGCAACTCAAATGCAGAACAAAAGAATTTAGACTTTCAGATAGCCAAATACATCAGTTTTTTTTTTTTAAAGAAAACAAATAATGATTATTAGCACAGAGTCTTCTCACAGAGGAGTGTCAAGTAGTAGAGTTAAAACAACATGACTGTTTTACTCATAGAGCTTCCATCTTGACAACTGGGACAGCAAATATGTCCAAGAGGGAAATCAGAACAGAGGTAGTTGCTCTGAGCAAAGCTAAGCTTTCCCACCCTATCACAGAATCACTGTGTAACTGCAGGGATAAGGGAGCCAGTTTGGCAAACAAAACAGCAGTTCTTTCTGTCCTCCCTCACTGCAACTGCACAATGCTCCCAAGTACTTTCTCCCTAACTCCTACAGCACAAGAATGCAGATATTGCTGCTGCTGGGTCTTCATCTACTCATGGCTACAAGTATAAAATCAGAGGACTTTTTTTTCTCTAATGTTTATTAGGTTTTGGGTGAAAACAGACATGTTCAATCCTAAGGAATTTCTTAAGTTGGGCAGACACTGCACATTTGCTGTTTTCAGTCACAGACCCATTCTTCACAACTACAAAGAGCACACACCAGAAGCTGTGGTGCACTGAAGGAGACCTCATTGAAATGCCTACTCAGACCATTTCAAAATGCAGATTCTAAGGAAAAATAGAAGAAGAAACTAACAACTAGCAAAAATTATTGATGTCCTTAGGGCTTAAGGGTTTTTCTTTGGGGTGAGGTTGAGCTTCTATAATACATCCAAACACATGAAATAAGGGAAAACAAAATACTCAGTCTTACCTTTTGGAGCAGGATGAGAAGCAGAGGTAATTGTGACATACAGGCTTTACACGGTGGTGTAAACTAGTGAATGTCAAAATCTTCTGACTTTGATTTCTTTCCCCCATCCTTCGAGGAAGGTGAAGTGCATCACTCAAGCAATATCCTGCATTTAGCAAGATCATCACAGCAAAAGATGAGAACTGGAACATACTCCAATCTACTGTGGCTGCATGTGCAGAGAAACACAACCATCCTACTTGGCTGATACCAAGCCACTGATTTCAGAATCACAAAGCACACAGTCTACTGCTGGAAAGTCTGTAGCTTCCTGCCACTGCATCACACCTGTTGCAATTAGTTGCTTCAGGTGAATGAAATTAGGAGAGCTGGAAAGTTTCTAGAAAATCAATATTCTGCTCCTGCACACTGAGCACTTTCACATGAGCTTCGTTAACCACCTCCAAAGCAACATGTGAGCATATGACGCAGTTCTGCTCCCACCTGAGAAGTCGTGCACAGAGGGGCAGATTTTAGTTTGTTTTATGCTTTTCCTTCCCACACCAGGTAATTACTAAATCTTACCTTACATAAATTCCATGTGATGGATCGATCAAATGTGATAACCTTTGTGCCCCACGAAAGCAACTCCCAAGTGGCCCTTTGCTTTGCTTTCAGCAGCTGATTTGGAGAATGTAAAATAACATTGTTTTCAATTTTGAGTCTTGGACTCCGTTCATCTGATTTTTTTTTAGTTACAATTTTTAATAACATTTTATTTACAAAGTAATACACGTAAAGACAGATTTTCAGCTCTTAATCTCAAATGCTAATGCATGATAAGTGCTCTTATTTATTTTAGCAACATTTTGAAGAATGAATGTTAATCAAATTCTATTCTTTCCTAACTCCAAAAAGCAAAACATGGGGAAATGCAATTGGGGCCACAAGTAAGAAAGCTCTGCTTGACATCAATTAGGTAATTGATACTGTTCATGGCACCTGAGATCTTGCTGTAACATATGTTAATTTGTTCCTATAACAGAGTCAGGTGACAGAGCACAACTTCTTGTCTACTTACTAGTACTTTAGAAAACTGACTGATAGAATATTCTGTTGAAATAAGCACATTTCTGCTTTACTGCTTGCTTCATGATTTTTGCTGCTTTAACAGGAACACCAGATATTTCTCTCCTCACACCTTGAATCTTTAAGTCCAATATCTTTGGCCCTGTAAGTACTTCATTTAAGTAGTATTTGCTTCAAAGGAAAAACAGACGGAAATTTTTAACCCCCTTTTACCGAAAAATGTCTCCATATACCACAAAGCAGTGCTTGCTGTTCTTTTTGAAGCATAGAAATGAAAGTCAATTGCCCAGTACCACGGTTCTTACAGCACTACCAACACAACACTTTTGCCCATTTCTGCCCTTTGCTCAGCTTGCTCCTCTTGTCAGAAGGAAAGAAAAAACCAGATGCCCTACAGAACCCACCTTTGTACCAGCATCTCTCTCGTGTCATCTTCTCATCCGAGCAGTGAGGTATAAATTTCAAGAGAAACTTGCCTTCATCATGGGTCACTGGTGGTACACAGCTTTTTTGCATTCTGTGATATCTAACAAAACACAAGTTGACACTGCCACACATTGAGAAATTAAGCGATCACAAGATAAATCCATTAGTAGCAAGTCTTCATTCGGGAGTTCAATCAAATGCCTGCCTGGTATTTTATTTTCTGAGAACTTCATGCTAAAGAACTGTGCTTACTCTGTTTCTTTTTAACTGTTATTTTTAAAGCAATAAAAGTTTTACCTTTAGAGACAAAAAGGCAAAATCCTTAGCCTCATGCCATGAATTGCTCAAACTCACAATGTACTTCTCCTCTGGTATTTATTTTTCATGATTTAGCAGGATTAGTTTGCTCTTTCTGCCGCACGTATGTATTCATTCCATCTCTGAGGATGCTAAAGACAGTTATCCCTAGCACAGCTGTACTCAAAGACAAACAGAACAGTTGAACTTCAGAGAGAATCATCACGAGATTGAAAAAAAATGAAGAAAAAAGCTTGACAAATTACATTTATCCCTTTCTAGAGAGGAAGCCATCTATTAAAATGAAATATTTTCTTCTTCCCCAAAACTTTCACTTTTAAAACCACTACCTACCAGCTAGTAGCTGACAATGCATGCCATTTTAGATCCCAAACTCTTCTATTTGTAACTGATCATCTTTTTTCTGAGACATTCTGGTTCACTAATGCCACTGAAAGTAGAAAAACAGCATAATGGAACTAAATTCTTGCGCAGATACCATTGCCAAAAGTGACTTTTAAATTGCTTTTGAACGAACCAGAAAGCTCAAGTTAATTGAACATGAGGATTCACGTAGCAAATTATCTCAGTACTAATGGTATGGAAGAAAGAAGCCTGATTAGTAAACCCTGCTGGATACTGCAATGTGAGAAGTCGAGAGATGCCAGAACTAAATCAGTGAGGTGAAGATCAATAGTTCTTTAATCAATGGTGGATTACAGTGGGATTTATTCCGCTGAAACAAGCAGGGGCAGATAAATCCCCCACTGAGATTAATTACTGGGAAGAGTGGATGCAAAGAGAAGGAGTGCAGTTATCTTTGTGACAACTGTAAGTGGCAAGAAGAACGCCAGTGGGAGTACAGAGCTATTGCCTGGATCTCTGCTGGGGACCAGCAACACCCTCATCAAATTCCCACCCCCTCCCCTTACTTCCTTACAACAAACTACCTTGAAGCCTGTGTACTTCTACAAACAGAAAACTTATAAACTAAAAAGCAGGGACAATATTTGGGGGGACAGGGCTGTTTTTAAGCTAATTAATAGCTTCTGAGCTATTTAATAAAAAAAAAAAAAAATCTGTTTCATGGAGGCAAAAGCACCAATGGGTGCAGTTAAATAATAAAAGCTTTATTCAGAAAGATAGTCACTATATTCATAGCACCTACTTAAATAAAGGCTTTGTCAGTGCTGCTATGATGTTCTCCTGGGGTTATCAGCACAATCCATCATTACACAAATACTTCTCATTTCCATTGTAGCCTTTTGTGCTAAACACTACAGTTCCCACAAACTAATCACTAATGCATCATGCACTGGTGCTAAGTACTGTAAAATAAGACACTAAGCAGCCTAAGTGGAAGAGAGAAATCACAGAGCATCATCTCCTGCTTACAAAAATGATTTAGAAACAAGTCATGTCATGAATCAGAACTACTGTGATTTTGAACTACATAAGCAATGTAATAAAATGAAGAAAACAAACAGAGCTAACAGTCAGTATTCAATCCTTTACCAGCCCTAGGGTAAGGTATCTAATTGCTCCCCTCACACCCACCCTCTTCATTTTATGTTGACTTACCTTATTAAGAGACAGCAGGTTGCAGAGTCCAGCAGATGTTAAATTTGCCAGACATAATCTGATTAATTTATTTGTTCACTTAAATGATTAGCAGCAATTGTTTGAGAGATATCTACCTTAAACCCTGATCAGATGGTATCAGTTTGTCCATTTCATTTCTCGCAGAAAAAAAATGTTTTCACTTCTAGTGTCATCCCAGCTGTACAGGTTGGTCTCTTTCTAAGCTGTTAATTCAGAAGCTTTCAAGTTTTTTCCTCTGAACTTTATCAGAAACCAACAATCATATCTATGTGGCAAAACAAGAAGTTCTTTATTGGGAAAAATGCAAGTTTAATACAGATATGAAATAAATTACAAAAAATGTTTTCAAAATCACCTCTCCGGGATACTCAAATTAATTGAAGGTGGAGTCTCAGTGAAGCAAAAGTCTTTCCCACATCATCTGTTACTTTAAAGCAGGTCATAAAAATAATCCAGGCCTTGTCCCAGTTCCCAGATGGATATACCAGTGCCCAATTCTTTTGCAAGCTCTAAGCGCAACTGGATGGACTAAGACAAAGACATATAAAGCAATTAGCTTTTAGTCAGCGGCATCAGACACTCCATGCTGTCATCTCTCTCTGCCATTAACAGACTTTAAAAATAACCATCCTTGAACTTCTGAAAAGCCCAAAGTCTGTATTTCAAATTTTCTCTGGCTAGCAAGCACTCATTCAGTAAGAGACAGTTCATTACACCGGTTAATTCAATGACCTAATGCACGATAACCAGCTAAATAGACAAAATGCCAGTGAAATAAATCTGATTTATGAACTATGCAAAGGACTGTTCTAATTTAAGCTATCATTTCCCAACGTACAGAAATTCTAACTCTTCCCAGAAATTTCCCAAGGGTAAAATAAAACTTCATCACTGAAGACAATTAGAGCCACCATCGAGATCTTGTACCTACCCTTGCCTTCTCCCAGGACAGAGTCATAATTTTCGTTATCAGAATTCTATTTTTAAGAGATCTGGGAGATGAATTTAAAACATATCCTTATCTATGCTACTGCCGTAGATTTGGTTTAGACACTGGTTTACAAGGGAAGCAACATTGCTTTTTGTGTTCTGTACTTCTGTCAGTTCAGACAATAAAAACAATTAATTTTTTTTTTAGTCTTTTACTTTCAGGTTTTCTTACTTTGAAGTGCAGCGCTGTTTGAACAGCTCACACCACAGGGATGTCTTTAAAACTCACTTCCACAGGAAACAGAACAAAATGTCAAGGTGTCATTAATACATCTACCAGCCTGGACTTCATGCCTGCCTTTAGCTAACCACGAACAAGTCAGTTTTGAGCAGCTTAACCTACCAGTGATTACAACATTAAAAAGGGGAACAAACACATTTGTGAGTGGGGAAATAAACCAAAATTCTATGTTCCATTGACCATTTTGATCGCCATGATGTGAACAGCTCTGATTCACCTCAGCAAACAGTCTCTAAATATTTCATTGCAATCTTGAAACCTACAGGACTGAATTTTCTTGTTCAGGCTAGGTCTGATTCTAGAAGGGTGAAATTTTAACACAAGAGCAGAGAGAATGCAATGTGATAACATGCAGCACAATCTGTCTTTTCTCTGATAGATTTGCAGTGAAATTTCAGGGCAGATACTAGCAAGAACACAGTTAGATATAGCAATTCATATCCCATATGTGCTAGTACTTCCACCTGTTTTAGATTAATGAAGGGAAATATAGCTGTAACTAACAGAGCATAAGACAATATTCCCATTCAGAAAAATGGAGCTTTGGAAAAAGCTCACAATAGTATAACCATACTGAATGTCTCTGTTCTCTCTAAATATGATGTATTTCTTCTACAGAAGCCAGAAGAGGCTTAAAATTCTTTAGTTTAATTGGAGAAAATCTAAAAATAGCTCACTAGGAATTAAGGCAAATAACCATTTATCATGTATTTTGGTACACTGCAGACTACTCTGTGGACAGAAACTGTATGTCCAGCCAAAAGACTTCAGTAAGGTCGAAGTTGGTCAGAGGGCAAATTTTGTCAGTCTCTTCTCTGACAATCCAGCATCTGTTAGCACATCAATTGTGTGCTCAAACAGCTCCTTCCAGAGCTCTGGTTTGCTCTGGTGTCTGTAATCTCTAGACATGGCAAAGCTTCAAAGACCCCCTGAACCCATTATGCCTTAGACAGAAAAAAAAAGTCTTGCACAGGAAGCTGAAGCCTTTTATCATAACAACTACAACAGGGTGAATTCTTTCATAAAAGTCTAAACTAAGTTCAGTATTTTATGAAGTGTCTTAATCATCCAAGTCAAGTAAATACTTCTTTCCTCTTACTGCCGTTGGCCAGAAAAAGTCACACCTACCTTCAGTGTTGGATAGAAGATGGCGTGTTTTCCTCCTTTATTTCTAAAAATAAAGGAAAAAAAATAGTCACAATTGCTTTAGTAGACTCTCTTACAATTTTTAGCTGAAAAAACAGTTTTATTCCTTCCAATAATAAGGAAACAAAGACAGTGCTTAAGAAAACTGCTGACTTTATTGTGAAAAAGATATTGCTTTCAAAAATAAGATATGCTAGTATGTTCAGTACCTGGGAATTAATACATCCATATCAAAGATAGAGACCATCTGCAATTTAGTACCTTGTTTAAGATGTTTTGCTAATGGCCACTTCATTCTGGATGCTGAGACTGACTCTCAAATTAGACAGTTTCGCCATCAGCTTCCATTCAGCCCACACCTGGCTACAGCACAGGGCCAAAGTGTTCTCTACTGCTCTTCCATTTCTAATGCAGACAAAAACTTCTGCCCTTCTCTGCTGTAGATACAACCACATCAGAGCACATGAATCCAAAGTGGTGGGGAAAGTAAAGGAGTTAGGGGAAGGTACCCCTGCACTGTATATCTAGAAGTCAAATAAATGTGCAGGTATCAGTTACAGGAGTATCTATCAGAGTATCTTGCAAGGTAATTATTTACTGTACTCGAGTGGTCTTTAGGAGGACAACATTTAAAAGAGGTAAAACAGCTAAAACAGAGACTCCAAGACATCCAAGAAGATGCAAAGTGAGAAGGAAATCTCACAATAGAAATGGGTTGATATTAGATTTCAGTAAGTACACCCCAGTATCTTGCTGCAACTGGATGCTATATTGTAAAACCATTCAGTAGTAACACAGAGATGTGCCTACT